CAAAAGATTCGTTAGTAAATGCTCAAGAGAAACAAAGTGATCAAGCCAACAAAAAGTGACATTATCTAGAATTAAATGAAGAAAATTTAGTATTATTGAATTTGACAAATATAATTCCACAAAAAAGTGCAAAAAGAGTATCAAAGAAACTTATCACAAAACTCATAGGACCCTTCAAAATCGTTCAGAAAATTTCAGCAGTAACATATCGATTAAAACTCTTGGAAACACTATGTATTCACCCAGTTTTCTACATATCCTTATTAAAACCTTACTACCCTAGTGAGTTTAGAGATGAAGTAAGAAAAGAACACCCAAAAATTGCAACTGAAGATCCAGAAAAACACGAAGTCGAAGCCATACTAGACAAGAGAACATACTACCGTCGTCTACAGTACTTAGTAAATTGAAAAGGTCACCCACTATACGATGCTACTTGGGAACCCTGACTAATCTTGAAAATTACAAAGATCTAGTAAAAGAATTCAAAAAAAATGGTGAAACTGTTTTAAATGGGGGAGAGTGTAAAGAAATGTTGCACAATGCACGTGTCATGTAACGAACATGTCAGAGATTTACCGAACGATCGTATATCATGTGAAATGTGATGTAAGGTCGGAATCACATTAGCATGATCGAACATTGAGTAATTAGGAATCGTAATAACTGTATGTTCGATTTGAAGTCATAATTAAATAATTGTATTGAGTTGTAATTAAGTAATTGTATTGAGTCATAATTAAGTAATTGTATTGCAATATGCGATATAAATATGTAAAAGAGAGAGAAAGCTAATTAGGCTTTCGCTTGCATTCTTCATAATAAAGAAAAAATAAACCCAAGTTGCTTAGTTTTCACATAACAATCATCTCTGACCTATCTACCCTTAATAGATACAGTTACAGATGTGATATATAATTTTTGTAAATATATATCTTATATTATTAATAAATTATTATTTTATTTAAAAATACTAAATATACTTTAATTTTCTAGACAAATTTGTCTGAATTATAGTTTAAGAGATAATATTATTATATATAATAGTTTAAACTTGAATAACTTTTAATCTACTAAACTAATTTAGATAATTTAACTACTAAAATAATCTTCTCAAAGAAAGAATTCAAATGAATCTAAAATTATTCAATTATGATCATATAATCCTGAGGAGATCAATAGAATTTTATATTATTTTACTATAGTAAATATAATATAAACTTTATTGATCTTGAGATCACGTAATTAGAATTGGATAATTTTGAATTTATTTGAATCCTCTTTTTGAGAGAATCATATTAGTAGTTAAATAATTCAGATTAGTTTAGTAAATCAAAAGTTATTTAATTTTAAAATTTATTATATATAATAATAATTATATATTATTTATATATATAATATATATTATATAGTATGGTAATATAGCAAAGTGGTATTTCGTGGTCCACATTTCTTTCAGGCAGTAGGTTCTTGGGTGGTGTCCATTATCTAATTGAAATGGTGTATAACCTGTGGATCCTTGTAACGAATTATTGTAAGAAAATTCTGTAGC